AAAAAAAAAAAAAAAAAAAGATACAGAGTAATAAAAGTCATCCTAGTCATTAACAAAGATCTTAGAACAAAAGAAATCATAGTAAAATAGAGAATTATTTAAGGAATTTCAAGATGTAGCCAAATATTGGTTTAAGACAATTATTGTTCTTTCAGTAGTAGGGAAGGTCATTATGGTAAGGTCATTACAGAAAACATTGCTGGACTTTTTGTAGAAAACTGGACAGAGACATGTACCTAAGTAAGATGAAACAGATCAATAGTAAGCCAAAGATGTCAAAAACATGTTATTTAACTTTATAAACTTCCTGTGGAACCAAGAGAGAGTGCCTAATCTTTCTAAAGAGGGACACAGAAGAATTCACTTACTCACTTATTTGACAAATATTTATTGATCTGCTCTTATTTGCCAAGCACTGTTCTAAATTATTGGGATACATCAAGGAACCAGACGGACAAAGATCCCTGCCTAGCAGAACTTACATTCTAGTGGAATGACATACATAATAAGAGATAAATAATATGGAGAAGCAAGTTATATGTTAGAAGAGTATTAAATGCTATGTAAAATAGAACAGAGTAAGAGTGGTTGAAGATGCAAAGATATCATAGTTTCCTACTCTAAATTACAAAACAAAATTCCAGGACTCTGTAACATGTTCTCCGAAAGGGCATGCTAGTATATTGAGGAAGAAGTTGGTGGAGCTAGGCACATAAGATGTGTCCAGTAAATGGTGGTTTGAATTTAACTACATGGTAATTCTTGTTTTGTTCAAAGCAGTTGCCATAGCAGAAAGTAAGTTGTGAAATTCTCATATGTATGGTTTTTTATGAATGCTATAATAAACAAAATCTGTGATGTCTCCCATTAATTGAATCCCTAACACCTGTTCTCTTTACTTACCTTACTTTTGTTTTTCATTTTGTGAAATACTATTTCACTGCTGTTTTAAAACAAAATAATTGAATGCATGTGCAGTTTTAGTGAAAACATTTACAGTTTCCATCAGTGTTAATGATAACATAATTGTATGTTTGTTATGTTTAAGAAAATAGGGATAATTTCTTTGCCACAAATGAATACGTACAGCTCATCTGTTTGCACAGGGGTGTGAGGAATATGAAGGGATTTACTAATTTAGGGATAAGCTAGTGAACTTTGGCTTCATGTACCTTTTGATTACCTCTTTTAATTTTATCCAATTAAATTATCAATGACACTGAAGTCCACATAGATAGATAAACTTCTGCCTCTTTTTCAGAACCCTTGAAACATATTAGAATTAGGATACTAATGTATTATCAAACCATAATAATGATGATAATAATTCAAAAAGCTTTGGGCTGTATACCACTTAAAGTCTCACTTGATCCTCAAAAATAGCATTATGATGTCAGGAAGATTCTATGGAAACTGAGGCTCAGAGAGGTTATTTTACTAAGATTACTACCCTAGTAGGGGTGGGGATGGAGGCCACAGTGTATGGGGTGGACGTGAAGACTACTACACTGTCCTTTAAAAAACAAACATCTAAGTTATTTATGTTAAAGTGACTTTATTTTGTTGTGAAAACCGGAAAAGTATTTAGTATAGCTTACCAGATCTGGATATTCTATAGTCTAGGTAAGTGCATATAATGTAATGACTAAGCATATTTCCTCTCACTTCATTGTTCCAGCTTCTCTGCCCCGGCCAGCAGCTCAGCTCACCTTATTTCACCCTTACTTTTCATCTCAGGAAGGTAGGAAGAGAACTGTTGTAGTCTTTCGATAAAGGAAGCAACCAAGTATGTACAGGAATTTGAGTTGGCTGATTTTTAACATTATGCTCACTTAAAATACAAACTCAAATTTTTAAAAAGTGAAACAATATCTCTTGTACAGTAAATTCTTAATAATTCATTATTTTTTTAACATTGAAAAAAATCTCAAACTGGATTCTGTAAAAATTATTTCAAAGTCAGTTTTTTCCTACTTTGCATGTAACTTATGAATCAAGCCAAAATTTTAAAAAATGTATCTTTATTCTTGAAAGTATTACAGATGTTCCCCCTTTCCCTCCACCATTGATCCCCTCAACCTTGCAGCCACCCCACCCCCGGCCTTCCCCATACTATTGTCTGTGTCCATGGGTTATGCATTTATGCATATAAATTCTTTGATTAAGCTCTTCCCACCCACTCCCCAACCCCCGCCTTCCCACTGAGATTTCTTAGTCCTGTCCATGCTTCTGTGTCTCTGGATCTATTTTATTCATCAGTTTATTTTGTTCATTATATTCCACACATGAGTGAGATCATGTGATAACTTGTCTTTCTCTGACTGGCTTATTTTGCTTAGTATAATACTCCCTAGTTCGATCCATGCTGTCCCAAAAGGTAAGAAATCATTTTTTTTTTTACAGCTGCATAATATTCCATGGTATAAATGTACCACAGCTTTTTAATCCACTCATCTACTGATGGGTACTTGGGCTATTTCCAGATCTTAGCTATTATAAATCGTACTGCTATAAACATGTAATATAACATATAATAAGTTCTGATTAGCATTTTGGGTTTCTTAGGATATATTCCTAGAAGTGGGATCACTGGGTCAAATGGCAGTTCCATTTTTAATTTTTTGAGGAAACTCCATACTACTTTCCATAGTGGCTGCACCAGTCTGCATTCCCACCAGCAGTGTACTAGGTGCCCTTTTCTCCACATCCTTGCCAGCATTTGTTCTTTGTTGATTTGTTGATGGTTGCCTTTCTGACAGGCATCAGGTGATATCTCATTGTTGTTTTAATTTGCCGCTCTCTGATGATTAGTGACTTTGAGCATGTTTTCATATGTCTCTTGGCCATCTGTATGTCCGCTTTGGAGAAGTATCTATTTAGGTCCTTTGCTCATTTTTTAATTGGGTTTTTTGTCTTCCTTTTGTTAAGTGTATGAGTTCCTTATTATATATTTTGGATATTAACCCTTTACCCAGATGTATACTTGGCAAATATGTTCTCTCATACAGTAGGATCCCTGGTTTATTTTGCTGTGCAGAGCCTTTTATTTTGATGTAGTCCCGTTTGTTTGTTTTTTCCTTTGTTTCTCTTGCCGTGGAACATGTATCGGCAAACACATTGCTACTAGAGATGTCTGAGATTTTGCTGCCTACGTTTTCTTCTAGGATTTTTATGGTTTCCCATCTTACATTTAAGTCTTTTATCCATTTTTAGTTTATTTTTGTGTATGGTGTTAGGAATAAACTTAAGGAGGTAAAAGACCTGTACTCAGATGACTACAGGATGTTCCAAAAAGAGGTAGAGGAAGATATAAACAAGTGGAAGAGTATACTGTTTATGGATTGGAAGAATTAACATCATTAAAATTACCATACTACCAAAGCAATCTATAAATTTAATGCAATCTCTATTAAAATACCAAGGCCATATTTCACAGATCTAGAACAAATACTTTAAAAGTTTATATGGAACCAAAAAAGTTAGAGGGATCACAATACCAGATATCAAGTTATACTGCAAAGCCACTGTAATCAAAACAGCCTGGTAGTGACAGAAAAACAGACATATAAGCCAATGGAACAGAACAGAGACCCCAGAAATTGAACCAAACCATTACGCTCAATTAATATTCAACAAAGGAGGCAAGAACCTACAATGGAGTAAAGGTAGTCTCTTCAATAAATGGTGTTGGAAAAATTGGACAGGTACATGCAAAAAAATGAAACTAGACCACCAACTTACACCATATACAAAATAAACTCACAATGGATAAAAGACTTAAATGTAAGAGGCAGATCAAGCCAAATTTTTAGAATTCAGATATGTGAAATGTTCCAGTCTCAATGAACTCATATTATTACTGAAGTAGAATTGCTAAACATTTTAGTATTTTACTTTATATTGGTGTCTTGAACATTAACTGCCGTAGGCTTTGCTTTGGATCTCTCTTTCCAACTTGGCCATTAAGCTGGCAAAAGAATGACCTATCACAATTTGTTTTATGAAACTGACAATAAAAATATTTTAAATCTAAAGTTCAAAAATATTCTTAGAGGGATTTGTGAGTATGTAGAGAGATGTGCATTCTACTAAGGGATTGGCAAGCAAGTTTAATTGTGTAGCAAATAATGAGATGAAATTTAACATTATCTAACAGGAGTGCCCTATCCCACTCCCAGGTTAAAAGTATTACATTACTTATGGAGTATCTCTAAAGACTGAAGTAACTCCCCAGGTAAAGAGACAACCTCCTTTTGGATTTTTATAGGCTTATTAGGATATTCTTCCTTATTGCTCAGGTGGCTTACTACTTTCACATTTTTAGATTTTATTTTGGTTTACTTCTTACCTGGCAATAAGGCAAACTGAGCCTCTCTGCTTGTATACTGAATCCCCAAAACTATTAACACAAGAACTAAAATTACCTCCCTTCTTCTGCATTGATATTCTCTTCAGTAATACAGTACATTGTTAGGTCCAATGTTAGTTCACAGTCCTCATATGCCTTGCGATAGCAAATCCCCATAGTTGATCCTCTGTCCTCCTTGAAATACTTCCTGCACTTGGCCTTTAGGACACCATTACTTGCCTGGTTTCCCTATTACATTTCCCTATTACTCCTTTTCACTTTCTCTTACTTGTTCATCCTCCTCTCCCCAATCTCTAAATATGGAGTGGCAGGGGCCAGTCAATGGATGTCTTTCCTCCTCTGTCTACATGCCTTCCCTGAGTGCTCTTATCCATTTTCAATGGCTTAAATTCTCATTTTCATGCCAGTGGCTCTCAAATAAATATCTCTAGCCTGGACCTAATCTGTAAACTCCACCCTTATTTGGCCTCTCCATTTGGATGGCTAATAGACATTACAAATTTAAACTGCCCCAAACTGAGCTTCTTATTAACCCCTCTCCCCAAACCTGCTCCTTCTACGATCGCAATCTCTTATTTCACACAATGGTAATTCCACCCTTCTAAAGGCTCAGGCCAAAACTTTGGAGTTAATCTTGATGCCCCTTTTTGTTAAACCTCAACTTAAACACAAGTCAGATCATGGTCTTTGCTCAAACCCTCCAATGGATTCTCCTTTCAATAAATTAAATCCAAAATCTTTACAGTGATCTTCAAATTCTACATGATCTGCCCACACCCACCTCTCCAATCTTACCTCCTACAGCCCTCACCCTTTACTCTAATCTGGCCACATCAGCCTCCTGCATGTTCCTTGAACATGCCATGCATGTTCCTGTCTTAGAGCAGGGGTTGGAACCAAGATCTCAAATTCCAAAGCCTGTCCCTAATTCTAAATAATTTAACAGAGACTCTCCAGAAAACCTAATAAGAATACTGTCATAGAAACATTGGTCCTAAGTCATATACTAATTTTTAATGTCCTTATTAAGATGGATTCTAAACATATTACTTCATTTTGCTGGGATATTTCCTAAAATCTGACACAATTGTGAGACTAAAATGAAAAAGATCTAACAGAGTTCTGTGATATAGGATATATACAGACTGTCTAATAAAACCAAAAGCATCTAGATATTGTCAACACATGTTTACATAAGTGCTAGCATCTACAATGAACTCATGGGTGTCAGGTCCCATGTTAGGGGGGTGCAGTGGTGAATAAGAGAAACTGACAGAAACAGAGACAGAAAAGGAGAGAGAGAAACTGGAAAAGACACAGGTTATTTTGCAAAATGAACTATAAGGTGCATCTGGGAATGCAAGTCTTACTGAACATTATAATATCAGTTAATGAGTTTATCATATTAACAGATTAAAGAAGAAAAACTATAAGATATCTTACTAGATGCAGAAAAGACATTTGATACATTTATTCATGATTTAAAAAATACTCTTAAGAAAGTCAGAATACAAGGAAATTTACTTAATCCAACAAAAAGTACCTATAAAAAACATATCAAACATTGTATTTAATGGTGAAATGATGAAAATCTTCTCACTAAGATCTGGGTGAGATAATGGTGCCCAGTATGAACATGTTCAGTCAATAGTGTAATGAAGGTCCTAGACAGAGCAATAAGCAAGTAAAAGACAAGGGCCCAGCCAGCGTGGCTCAGTTGGTTGAGCATCCCATGAACCAGGATGTCACCAGTTCCATTCCCATCAGGGCACATGCCTGGCTTCTGGCTTGATCCCCAGTGTGGAGCCTGCAGGAAGCAGCTGATTGATGTTTCTCTCTCATTGAGGTTTTCCTCTCTCCCTCTCCCTCTCCTGTCCTCTCTGTAAAATCAATAAAACATATTTTTTAAAAAGAGACAAGAAACATATAAGGATTGGAAAGTAAAAAATAAAGTTCATTGTTCCCAGATTATATGATTGGGACAAAGAAAATAAAAAGGAATCTTCAGGTAAATTTTTAGAATTAATAGGAGCATTAGCAATAAGACTGAGCCCACAATCAATATACAAAAATCAATAGTATTTCTCTATACCAGCTATAGGTAGGAAAAAATTAAGATACTATATAGGATAGTTTTTAAATGCATCAAATAACCTAGGAATAAGCTTAATAAAAGATGTACACTTCTACACAGAAAACCATAAACTTTATCAAAATCATAGGAGACCTTAATAAATATGTTATCTTGGAAAAACTTGGTATTTTAAAGATGTTAGTTCTCTCAAAATTCAATGAGTTTATATAGTGAATATATTCAAACAAACCCAGTAAAAATTCTAGCAGGTTTTATGAAAACTTATAAGCTGATTCTA